AAGAAGAAGAAGCTAAAGAAGCATGCTTCGCGTCCGGATGCCAGCCTTTCAGTACCTCGCGTCCGGACGCAGCATTTGGCGTCCGAACGCTAAATCATCAGGACCTCGCGTTCGAACGCCATTCTTCGCGTCTGATTTTATTCTATCTTGAGTGGAAATTCAAATTTTAAACGAATTCTTTTATTTTGAAACTCATGTAAGGATAAAGTTGGGGCAAAGGCTTGTATCAAGTCAATCAGTTTTTGGTTTTTGAAAAGATATTGGAGAGGGAGGATTTTCTTAGGGTTCTGGGCTTATTTTTGCAACAATGGTGAGAAGAGGGATTTCTTTCTCTTCTTCAATCCTGGAGGTTGCTGCCATATCCATGAGAGGCTAAATCCCTTTCTAGGGAGTTGATGTAACCTAAACCAAGTAAACATGTGTTTATTTGTATTTCAATTTGGGGATTTTTATTGTATATATTCAGTTTCATAGATAAGAAGTATTTACATTGAATTAATGTACTTTGCATTGAATTGATGTATGTGACTATCATTTGAATATATATTTGTGTTGATTTATTATCTTGTCTTAGAAATCACATTGATACAAATATTATACTTGATTTCCTAGAGTGACAATGGGGAAGAATTTATGGAATGGTTATATTGGCATGTAATTGAATATTTATATAGATTATGCTTAAGGAAGATGGACCATGCTACACCTTTAAATTAATGTAGTTAGGTAGATGGTCCATACCAACTGAAGATAACCTATGATATTTAATTGATTTCATGTGCTGCAACATACCATTGAAGGACCTTGATAGGCCATGCTTAGGGAAGATGGTTCATACCACAACCTAGCTTAGATGGATGAGCCATGCTAACCAAAGATGGGTTACGCTTAGTCCTGAAATGTATGATCTTCTTGATGATGTTGTGATAGTTTTATGCTTCTACACATCATTTTATATATATAATTATCTATCCCTAAGTTGAGTGCAAGTTTAACATGTTTATGAGATTGAGGTGAAGTCCATTCCCTAGCCTTTTTCTTTATAAGTTCAATCCATTTTAATCACATCATTTACTATTTTAAGAAATTTAAATTCATAGGTTAAGTGATAAACTAAATGAATTATCATCTCTGTTATCAAATTAGGAAGTACTTTTACAATTCTGTTTGCCATAAACTAGCAATCCTTGTGGTTCGACAACCCTCTACTATAGCATTAATCTACAATAATGAATGTGATATTGTTATAAGTGGTATTTTTAAGTGGTACACATTTGTGCGCATCAATTTATCTGATGATGTGGTAATAGGATCGATTATGGAAGATTGTGATCGATCGTGCATGGGCTGCGATCGATCATAGGTACTGTTTCAGGGAATTTTTTGAACTTTTTCTGGATTTTTCTCGATGCATTTACTTGACTCCAAAAAGGCTTTAATGTACTGTTTTTAGCCCGTTTGAACCTTATTGACCTAAAATCGACAAAAACACAAATTAAGACTAAAACGGGATGCAAGGTCTAAAATACCCGAGATTAGGGCTGAAATGTGCAATATTTCAAACAATCGCATGGAGCGGTACACCCTCGCTCGCCTAGTAGATCCAGGTAAGGTTTTTGCAAAAAAATGTACTCGGCCCACTTCTCCTACCACGAACAGGGACCCACTGGACACTTGAAGTCCAGAAAGCAGTATGGGTAATGGCCCTGTTCAATGGCAAACCAGTGAACGAAGCCCCCTGGCATTCTTACCCCTTCATCAATTGGGCACTCTGATTCCATCAATTGTGCCACGTCTCCGTCAATCATATCCTCCGAAACATCCCCAGAGGACGACCAGAATATATCCTGAGGCCCAAAGAACGGGGCCCTCCTCCACTCTAACTCTAGTAGCACTACCGGAACTAGTTCATTCGGTTTGCTCAGTTCTTTCCATTTCGTCATCACAACAAAGTGATAATTATAGCACTTTCGCTCACATACCCTCGCGAATGCAACGAACAGATTTTTTTTCCTATACCACTCAGTGTATTTTTTCAGGCCCCTCAACAGTTCTTTCTTCTCTAAACCTGCACTGTACAGTCCTTATAAACACGGACCGTTTCAAACAAAAGAAGAAGAAGAAACCCAAAGGTCACATCCCTTCCATTAATTGCCTATAGCCGTCAGAAGTTGAAAAGGCCACGCTTCCCAACAACACCAAAAGACGCGCCTTTGTGCACGCGCCCATTTTTTTTAATCAAAACAGCACGTGCAGGGGGGAGTAAATGTGGATGTAGGTTATGCCACGTCAGTTATATATTCAAACCATGCTGACCATAAGCAAAAACATGACAAATGTTTCAACACCTATTCGATATACATAGACTGGCCAGCTCAGCACTATTAGCCGGACGATAAGCCCATAAAGCAAACCCACAAATGGTAAATCAATGGGCCTAGAACCTCGATCCGACCAACCCACAAAAGGTCAATGGGCCCAAAACCTTGATCCACGAACTATCGATCGATAGGCCAGAACCTCAATCCATCCAACCCACAAATGGTCAATCAATGGGCCAGAATCTCGATCCGACCAAGTCACGAACTATAGATCGATGGGCCCAAAACCTCGATCCGACCAAGCCAAAAACTGTCAATCAATGGACCCGAAACTCGATCTAACCAAGCCACGACTTGTCAATCGATAGGCCTAGAACCTCGATCCAAGTTATGGCCCATCAATCGACAAGCCTAGTCCCTCGACATGACGCGTCGAGCGATGGAACTAGCAACGACGAGTTGTGGTAGGACTCTTCAAGACCATTGGGAATGTTGAAGGGATTTTTTGGAATGGAGGATGGAAAATCAGTTTTGACTCTTCCCAAAGCAGACCCAATTCGAGGAGAAAAAGAGAAAGACAGTCTAGAGTAGGCACAAAGACCCCTACAACCACCCTCTGTTTAGAACATTCAAGGAAGGTATGTACACTTGGCAACATGTCCAGAAAAGTCGGGATTAGGGCATCATGATCCATAAAGGACATGGGCCCTGACTCACTTTATCCTTATGACCAGCGGATACAACTTGAATGACCTAAGGCTATAAAGAGGTGGCTAAAAGAAAGGATAAGGGTGAAGAAATTGAGCTCATACTCTAGACTTCGTTCTTCTCTACCATCGTTTTCCTCCCTCAATCTGCTCTTTTGTATTCCTCATATTGTTTTAGTGATATTCCCGGATATATTTTCATCTTTAGTTTGACTCAAGAATCAGGTACATACACAATGCAAGGTTGGAGATGTTTTGGTGCTAAGGGATGCCATGGTCTTTGATCCTAAAGTGTTGTTTGGACGGGACAATAAGTATGGGAGATGTTATAGACTGCGGCAGAGGACAAATGACAAATCCAGTGTCTTGGATGTCGTTAGCTGTATTATGCCATTTTATATGGCCCCATCATGGTCACGTAAAGGCTCCAAGATTTGCCAAGGTCGCATTGATTAGGAATTTAGCACGGAAAGCTCCATGTATTTTTTTCATCTTTAATTAGGTGTGCTCCACCTAATGTACTTTTTGTTATGATGTTAACTCTTAGTTTGCCAGGAGGAAAAATAAAATACATAAAAAAATATTGTGTCCTTGGCATTTATTTATGTATTTATTGTCCACTATTGAGAAGACTTGAACCTTCTTGGCATTGTTCCGGTATTATTTGATAGTTATTAACCTTCTTTTTTTTTTTTTTTCTTTCTTCTTTTCCCGAACCTTCACCATGATTTCATTCACAAAAGCTATAGGAATTTTGTAATGATTTTGTTGTATATATATCCTAGTTTGCAATATGATTGTTGTCCTTTGTCTAGCTTTTGATTTATGTCATTGTACCATCATTCAAAACCTGTATTAGTTTTAATGAAAGCAAATGGAATCTCTCTTAATTTTTTTTTTTAAGTTAAAGCAATTACACACCCCCTACCTCCACCGAGGTTCGAACCCTGATACCACTGGGCCAATTGGTCCTTTGATATCTCTCTTAAATCCTTATACATGTTACTGTTTGTGCTATTATAGATTTACAAGCAAAGTTCACAGCAGTGTTGGGGTCACCAGTCTAATTCACGCCTAATTCATAAAGGATTAGGTAAACAATTTGACGATGCTGAGGAGTGAGGATTGAAGATTCCTAGGTTAGGTCTCTTTCACCAATTCTTAGAATACTTTTTCCTTACCTTTTCATATGGAATTATAAATCTTGTTAATCAAGAAAGTGAAAACCACCCAATTTACACACACAAAAAAAAGCGCCAACGCCTTGGAATTGAAATTTAATGAGCCCGATTCATAAAATTTGTTATACACAAACACTCTTGACCAACCATACAAGGAAAATAATAAAATAAAAGTAACAGTAAAGTCCTGTGGAGTACTGCAAATAAGAGACCCTTCTCTTGCTTGCTTACATACCCTAATGCTACGTTAGTACGCGGGAATAGAATGACATGCAAGTAGGAATGGTATGGAATGATCCATCCATGGGTCGAAACAAATTTTCGTTCTTTTCCATTATAAGTAATTCCCACTTTAATTTTCCTACCAAACAATTGGATAGGTGAAATAAACATTCCATTTCTGAATACCAAACGCAACATATAGAGGTGCTTTACTAAGCCATCATCAAAACAGTAAAAGCCACTATAGTTTACAAAAAGGCACACTGCTTTAATCTTAATTAAACTAAGTACTTATGGTTTTAGGGCTTTAAGCTTGAAAAACATAAAATGCCATTCGTTCTAAAACAAGTTTAAACCAGGCGAACGCTTTTTTTTCCTTCGGGGACACCACTAAATCCCTTTGGGAGATTACAATACTACTCAATAGATAATGTTTAGTTATAATCCACACGCAGTGTTACAAGAAAGGGAAAAACTATTCGGCTAGAAACAATCAAGGAACCACTGTTTTGAGCCACATTGGTCAACGTTGGACCATGCTCTTGACCCTGCTAGAAGAAGATGCTGAGTGGTATCAAAAAAGCAAGAGACCCTCAAATCCATTGATTAAAGTCCTAAATATTTTACAAACTAGTGAGACACCGATCACCATTACTATATGATGCCGGCATTTTACAAAACAGGAAAAAAGAAAAAGAAAAGAAAGCCATACTTCCATGATATCAGATAAAATAACAAATTAAAGGTATTACCAAATAATTTTATGGAACGGATGATGCATGGCACATCACTAACAAGTTGCTAAACTTCATGTGCAGAGACAAATCTCAGACACACCCTAATTTGGAGATAAAAAATGTACCCGAGCAAGAGGATAATCTTTTCCAGCCACACTGACGCCAGTTTGTGACCACAGGATGTCCTCCCAATTGAGATTCTCCTCCAATACCTGTTCAAGCAGAAAAAACAAGGTCAAGATAATCAACAACAGCAATTTTACAAAGAAAAGACTATTATTCAGTTGTTTCTTCTCTCGAACAATAACAATGTAGCTATTTCTTATTCAAAGGGGATTCCTTGCAAGGTGCTTCACTCTAAATAGTAGTTCAACCTCAGCCATGTGAAAAGTCAGTAGTCAATCCCATTAAATTGTATTGCAAGCATATGCTGCAGTCATCAAATTGCAGTGATTGTACTACATTATAGTACTGCAGAGTCCTGTTACAAATATGACCATCAAGGTGGTAAATGGTCTCACCTAGAATTGCAGTGAACATGGGGATTGCACAAAGTGGTGTCAATTTCAGGGCATTAGAGAGGGCAAAAACAAGATATGAATGTCTTTCCCTTAATATATATATATATATATATATATATATATATATATATATATATATATAATAATGATAAATAAATAAAAAGAACAAGAAGACTTGAAACATGCGCTTTGTTATAAGGTTCCCTGGACTTGGTTTGGGGTGGAAGACTGATTTCAGAACTATAAAGAGCCCAAGATTGCACAAATCCTAAATCCCAACCTGGTTTGAATAAAGCTGTCACTGAAATTAAACAAGGGCGCATTTAATACCATGATAACAACGCAAGTTTTCATTCTTTCAGAGATCAAGTAGAAGATAATTTTCTAAAATACATTAATTAATATAAGCCAGCAAACATATTTGCCGAATTTAACACACTAGTTCAGTTCTATATTTCATTTCTTACGGCCACACACTAATCTAAAATTCTTTCAGGAGTTCCAGAATCGGAAAATCCATTACGTATATCATGCGATTGGTACTAAAACAGGACAAAAGTGCCATTGCATGCTTGACTTGTAGTAACCATGTGTAACACTTGGCCGTTTGTCCATATTATTTTCAAGATTGCTGGACGCATCCACTTTTAAATGTGTTGTGTTGTACATGTTTGTAATGCGTCAGCAAAGTTTTTGGATTGCGATGGCGAAGTGTCCCAAATAATGAAATTTCTTTTTAAAGTATTGGATACGTCCATAAAATGTCGAACACAAGTGCCCATAAAGTATCTGTGACTATGTCTCGAGGCATGTCTAACATGGGCATGCCATCTTCGTATAAGTGTCATGCTTCTTAGATAGTAGTCATTCTCAACTCCCAACTTCTAAGGTGTGTTAATCATCACTGAGGCAACGCGCAAAAAGCAGATGCCAAGTGCCAAGTGCCAAGTACCAAAATTATAATGTGTATATATATATACAGAATTGTTCACTTGCTCCCTGGTGTGCAGGAAAATGTATGCACACCTCAAGTATTAACCATTAGATTCCATTGGACAGTTAAAAAGGTAGTTTATTCTTTTATATCCAGCGGTTAAGATTTAATTCGTGCATAAATTCATTGCACACCAGTGAGTAGGTGAACAGTCCTATATATATATATATATATATTCATTCTTGAAAGAGAGAGAGAGAGAATGAGAGAATATATGAAAACTTATATGTTATTGAGTAAGTAATACAATAATACAATGGCGTTTATATAGGAGAAGCTACAGGAGTAGGTGAGTGGAGAACAAGTAAACCCTATACATGGTAATTCTATATATGGTAATGAGGGGTAGGCGACAACTCATAAAATACTAACTGTACAACATGACAACTCATACAATACTGTGCAACATATTATGTTTCAAATATGACCTGCCAAGATTGGAAGTGTCAATGACAAAATACAAGTTTTACATGTAGTAAGTGTCTGCTACTTCGTTTATTCAAACTGCAGATCCTCATATCATGAGATTTTATATATATACATATATATATATACATACATATATATATATATATATCAGGACAAGAATAGTGAAAATCAATTATATAGAATGCACAAACCATACAATAAATTATGAAAATATGTCATACTATCCAATAATTCATTAGCTCTTTATGTGCTAAAGCCCCACATCTTTCATATCTAAAAAGTAAACTAAGTGGAGAAACAAGAATAAATAATTGGAAGCACCTGGTAATAGTTAGGTTAATGTTCGATACGCAAGTGCTCATGTTTTATGTTACTTGGACTAACCGGACCCAGGTGCAAGTGTCAAATATGGGTGCATGTCTAGAGGTTGGATTCATCCATCAGTCAAATTATAGGATAAGTTGACTCGGCTGAAGAGAGTCCAAAAATTAGACATGGGTACTTGAACACATTCATAAATAATAGACAATGGTGGAAGTATAGGTCATCTATCTTAAATAATAAAGTAATACTTAATTTCAAATAAAGAGATGATTTGTCCTACCCTTTCTCTACACAAAAAAGAAAAAGAAAAGAAATATAAATGTCATCAGTTTTTATATTCACATGCCCCAATGTAATAAGCACGCTGGGGTAAAGAAGCACAGGGCCCAATCTACCACACATCAGAACACTAAATAGAAAAATGAACTGCCACTGAGAAGGCAAATAAATGCACTCTTGGCCAGAACCAAATCACGCAACAGCTGTCTGTGAAAAAGACAGTCTTCAACCTTGAAAAAACCCTAGTTTCGAACCAGCAGCCTCCATTACCCTGATAAAAGACACCTGGTCTAACAAAGAGACGACAAAAAACTTTCAAATCCCTCACAACCATCCACTGAAACAATCTTCCATCAGTCGTGTCCGTTAGATGCAAGAGGGTGTCCAACTAATATCCTGTGACAGTGTCCATGTCGAGTCGTGTCCACTCAGACACCCTGGGTTGATATGGTGAGTTTGGGTAACATACACAAGTTTAGGGACATTGGACACATTCCATTTCATAAATACCTGGCGTTTATCAATTAGATGCTCCCACGGTTCTAAATAACTAAGCTTAAGATCACCAACAAAGACCACCTTAATAGCTAAGCCCCACCTCCGCTACAGCCCAATTGTCAAAAATATAATTCAAAAATCCCAGCAAAACTACATTTTTTTCATGTGACCAAAGAATCATCACCAACGTTTAAATTCCTATCTAACGTACAACAATTGGCTAGAGTCGGGCCCAGATGATTAGATTGGTCTGTGACATAGACATATTGGATTGATCAGGAACCAATAATTTCGGTGGAAACGATTTAACATATTATTATTAGAAGATATATATACACATATCATCATACTTGCCTAAATGACAGAGAGCACCATCTGACATCACTAATTCTCAACACAAATAAAAGTAGGAGGGGAGAGTCATCTATTCTTAACACTTATAAGCAGGTTAAACAGTTTTCATTACATGCAAAATGTTATAGGGAAAAAAAATATATATATATATATATATATATATATATTCAGATGATGAGAATTCTCTTCAAAAAATATTTTTTTTAAAAAAATAAACCTTTTTAGTAATCAATGAATAGATGCGAGGACATATGGAAGTTCTTGCACTCAACTGCTTGTATAGTATTCTCATGTTTATTGAAAAGGGAAGTGGAGGCCTAGGTTATAGGGACGAGGGTAGAGACAGACAGAGACAGATGACAGAAAGGAGGTAAAGTAATTCTCTATGTTGCAAGCATGCAGAGAAGCTCTAACAATGAATGACAGATGATTTACCTCCAGATGTTCAAGGGGCAGTGGTATGCCAATTGAGCGCATAACTTTCTGGGGAAGAGGCTTCTTACAACAGGACCATCGAAATACATCAATCATAACACTATCACCATCCACTGTACTTATTTCGCCATTTGTAGAATGAAGATTGTGAGTTAGAGACTTCTCTGTCTCCGTTTCATGTGCCTGAGAGACAGTGGTAGCCTTCACCATCTTCTCTCCAGTAAAGCAGAGTTCATACCTTCAGATAAAGCAGAGTTCATACTTAAAACATCAGTTGACATAAGAACAACGCACAGAAGTTGACACATGACTTTTTAGTCTCAGGAAATCAAACTTCCAATACCAAAATCTTTAGGTCATCAAAGGGACAGAATCTGACTTGACAATCAAAATATTGGAAGTTAATTTCATAATAACTATAGAGGACAGTCAACCTCAACTGCTATTTTGCGTCATCTGCTCCATTTGTATTTATGCATGTTCTATTTATAAAACAGATACAGCAAGAAAGTTGCTCGGAATTAGGGCTAAAAATACATATCAGCTTTATAATTCTTTATTGGAAATTGCATATAATAAAATACTAGGAAGAGAAAAAACTTATCACACTCAATTAGAGCAATCAGAATAAAGGAAAACGTGATTTCTGGCTGAACAGAGAGAAATAAGCTGAATGAGGCAACAATATACAGATGAAATGGATTTGGAAATCTAGAATAACACCATCGTTATCCCAAATATGGTTATAGTTGTCATACTGGTATTTGCTGCACGGTAGTTAGGAATTCGTATGACAATGGGTGAAGAGTGGTCAAGCTCCCAAAAAGACTTAAACGCATTTTAAATTTTTTGATATGATGACCGAACAAAACCAATTAAAGCATATTCATAATTATTTAATACAGAAAATCTTTTGAAAATAGAAAGGTGTGGCATTAAATCGATTTATCTTCACAAATGGATTATACTAATAGAAATAAAAGTTCCCTTTCTTGCTGCATTATATTAAATGATACCCCTCACAGACAGACATTCATGTCAATCTAGTGAATACCTCCGTGAGTGAGTTTCCAAATACAGAACTTCTCCCTTCTTCAAGCGTGCAGATGTATAAAGGGGTTTCTTCAACCCCTTGTCAGCAACAATATTTATACTGTATTTGATCCTGCAAAAATAAACAAATAAAATACAAGCACACAGAATGACCATGTGGAGACTTAAAAATATATATATAAATAAAATATAACGAAATAAAAACTGAAGGAAACTGTGAAAAGAGAAAAAGCATCTACATCTTTTTCTTTTTCTTTTTTTTACCAAATGCATCATAGAAAGTTGTGCAAAATAAAGTCAATGGTTCAAGTCCTCCCCTCTAGGCACCAGCATAGGTGGGATCAGCAATGAGTAACAAACATTTCCCTTTTTTCTTTGTAATGCATCTAAAATGAGTAGAGCTATATAGGACCTTCAGTGAGATTTATATCAATTCCAAAAGAAAAATACATCTTCAAACATGAAAATGTTGTTGTGCAAAACCAGTTAAGATCTATAATGACAAATGCCAATAAGCAAGGAAAGTCATGGATTTTAGTACATATCAGCCACTCAAATTTGAAACTTTAGCAGACCCAAGATACGTCACAGCTGGAGGAGGCATAAAAATCACGTGTGGTGCTAAGAACAAGTGCATAATATCCCAGACTCCCAACTTACATCCTCAATGGATTGTTCCTATAGATATTTGCAAGAGTATAATAATTAGTAAGATATATTGTTTTCATGGATGGATGAGGAAAAGAATGGTAATACTCAAGGAAAAATGCATGTCTTTTGGTTGACAATTTATCAAAACTGTGATATTGTGGCCCGAATTTGGTTCCAGGTTGTCAACCCCGACAACCCGTCGATTGAGCTCTGTGTGGGCCTAAGCCCACCAAAAATTTTGACCCAGTTTTTTGCTTGCGGGTCGTGGACCTGTTTAGTACAGGGTTGCTAGTTTGGAGTGGAATGATTGAGATGTTAGAGTGTTTCTCAATTTCATCATAGTGCTTTATTTGAGGTGGAGAAATCTTCAGTTGAGGTGGAGCTATGAAGAGATCCTTGTTCGAGGTGGAGTTATAGTGGAGCATGTGAAGACATAGTCTGATCACATGATTGATTCTATGAATGATTTGGGAGATTAAAGTTGCTGATTCTTGCTATGGACTTTGGCTACTGCCAAAGTTGAACCAGTTCATGTGGGGTGAACCGGTTCAACCTAGGCGTGTAGTTTTTTGGCTTTGGTTACTGCCAAAGTTGAATCGGTTCAAATGTGGCTAAACCGGTTCAACTTGGACAGTGAGTTTTGGAAGCTACGGGAAACAATTTCCTAATCAGTTTTGGAAGCCAGAAGACTTGGGGAAAAGGATGAAGATTTAGGGAAAAAATTGTACCTGCTATTTTAGAGTTGAAGACATAAATGGTAACTCCTTGTAGGCAAGTTGGGGAATACTTGTCCAACAAGGAATTGTGTTTTGAATACCCTATAAATAGAGATGGGTGTGAGGGGTTTAGAGAGATAGAGAAGAGAAAAAAAAAAAAAAAGACGTAAGGGGTTTAAGAGTGAATGTTGAGAGGAGAGGGGAGACATATGTAATTCCCGAGTGTATACATATAGCCTAAAAAAAGATGATGAGTAAGTGAGTGGGGTTTTGACATGTGGTTATATATTCTCTTCCTTGATTCATAATAGTAAAAGCTCTCTCTCCCATAGACGTAACCCTAGAGTTGGGTGAACCATGTAAAATATTGTGTTGTGTATGGATGTGTTTGATTGTTATCTCCATATATACTTGTGTTGATGTGATGATGTTTCCGCTCTGTGTGATGAAGAAGGGATTTAACTCTCAACAATAACCGACCATTGAATGGGTTGAAGGGAGTAATTTTTCCACAACATGAGAGACACTGAAAATCGTAAAAAAGAGAATGAGGGCGAGAACTAGCATTTGGGGCTAAAACTTTTAATATCCATTGGCTGCTTTTCACATAGTGAAAACTTTTGCCGAATGTTCAGCGTGGATGTAGGCTTTACCGAACCACGCTAAATCTTTGTGTTATTTGTGTGTGGCGTTTCCAACACAGGTACATCACTCATTTGAAGAATCCATTTAACATATATATACTAGTCAAAAACACGTGATTAAACATAGTATAATTTATGTCATATTGTCCGAATATAGAATGAAAAGTCTAACCTTTCTTTTGGGCGCGTTCCCCCCTCTTGAGGGCCTTTTATGAAATCTTAGTTATCTAACCTTATAAAGAAGAATTTTACTGAGATTGGAATCTAAAAATTTCTGATCTTTGTATCTTTGACTTCTATGAAATGAGAAACTTGAGATAAGAATCCTTATTTTTTTATCCTTTCTACTACTTCAAAAGAGGAGTAAATTTATTATGTATATATATCAATGATTTTATATCTTCTATTAAACCCTTTTGTTAATATTGTTACATGTACAACAGACTCACAGACACAAAATTATATATACCTAAACTACCTAAACCCTGAAGATATATAAAACATAGTCCATGTTATAAGAAATTAAAATATCTTTGATCCCACTATATTCCATACCTTTAAACATGGCTCCATTTCTAGTGGAACAGGATGGATAGTGTTGCACAGCAAATTATATCCTTAATAATTCACCCCAACAACACCCGAGGATCTGTCTAACAAGGCATTACATGGTCTTGCCTAAACAAGGTGAGGGGAGGGGAATACTGAAGATATACCTAGCCTTTGTCATTATTCTGCAAAAAATGGTTTTATATTTTTTTTTCATTGGCCAAAAAAAAAAAAAAAAAAAGAAAACACTCACACACACACACACAAGGCACACCCCACTCATACACCCACGTTGCTCCTTTGGAGACTCGAACCCTCACCATCCACTTTGGGAGGTAGAGAAGATACCACTAGGCCATAAGGCCCTTGGTCACAAAATGGTTGTCGTTAGACTTAAGACACGCATTACAATGCTGGTCACAAAAAGGATTTTTCGAGTTTGCATTTTTTGCCCAATGATTCTCCCACAACCGTGCATGTTATATATCATTCCAAGAAACAACACTGTCGAGAATTCAATGCTTTAAATTCATCCGAGAAAGAAGCAAAACCAGAGTCTCTTGAGCTCCTAGAAATGGAGATGCTGCTGAACAAGTAAATCACTTTGTTTAGGAGGTAGAATTCAAGCATAAGCCTAACCAACAGTAAATACACATGTATTCAACCACTATTGCTTTAAAGATGTGTATAATACCATTGTAGAGGGCCATTGCCTAGCTCAGTGGTAAAACTATTGGTGCCACTGGCACAAGTTTGAGCCTCAGAGCAGTCACTTCATTAATGGTTAGCTCTGTCAGCTGTGGCGGGATCAGAATTGGGTAATGCCCTATTGCCCCTATTGTGTTGTACTGCCAGACATTTTGACAATCAATAACTGCAGCCAATTTCCTACGAGAATGAATATCAGTAAGTCGTGATATGGTACTGGTCATTCTACACCTTGCGCATTCTCAACATTGTAATCCAAGGACACCTCAGGCCATATATGGGAAGATCATAGATCATGGAAAGCTATACCAGATTCTTATGCACTACAGTTTTATGAACTTGTTATACAAACATTAAAATTTTAGAGCCCGATATATGCTCACAACTTTTCAAAATTTGCTAGAAAACAAAAGCAATGGTTGAAAACTCAATTAAAATGGAAAAAGGAAAATAACACATCTATTTAAAATGCAATGAAGATATATTAACATGGGAAGGATTGAAAGTATACCAAGGCTCATTGCATAGATTGTACTGTATTGTCACTTCGCGTACAAATCTTTGTTGCCGTAATGCATTCTAAAGAACAAAGCAACAGGTGAGCTGAACATTGTTTATAGAACAACAATAAGTTAAACTTATGAACACAACTGAAAGAAGCAAAATACGGTTAAAAGCTTACATACATTATACTTGTAAAGCAGACTTACAAACATTAGCAATTAATAAAGTTTCTAGTAAGAACAAGTACTTCCAGTTCTCTGCAAAACCATTTGGTGTAGCAACAAGTATAACCATATATTAAAAATAATATATATATATAAAAATAAATAAAAAATAAAAAAAGGAAGAAGAAAAGAAAGAATCAAAGAAAAGAAGAATATTAGAAAAGTTAATTATTACAATGTTAGCTACCATATTGTACAATACCAAATTTTGGCAGCACCTGCAACCATACCATTTTATCATGTTCTTTATCTAAAACTATAGATAAGACATTCCTTTCTGGGAAGATCTTGGATCGCAGAATCCTCTATCAAGGTATCTTAACTGCACCATTGGAATATTAATAGAAGGTGAAGGTGCTCTGTTTCTTGCACATGTTCATTGTCCCATATCAGTTTAACGCTTTAACTATTGTCCCATATCGACAAGATGTGGTCATCTTCCCCTCTCACAGCAACACTAACTTTGTGTGTTTAGATTTTAACGGTTATCTTTCTTTCTTTCTTCTTTTTTTAATTTGGAAACCTTTCTTTGAAACTAGAATAAATACCCTCACTTCATTTCCCAATTTTATAGCCTTTTTTTTTTTTTTCTTAGTTGGTACTCACACACACAGGCCTCCACTGAGGCTTGAACCCCTGACCTCCCTTTGAAAAGTAAGGGCCTGATACGTAAGGGCCTGATACCGCTAGGCCATAGGCCTGTTGGTAATTTTATAGCCTTATTTAGGCTTCAAAGTTCCCCGTAAAGGTAAAAAGCATTGGGATTAAGAGAAGTGGACACTTTGTGATCCAATGGAAAGCCCCACAAAGCTTTCATGAATCATTAATTAGGTGCATGCTTTGTGAACGAAAAATGTAGATCCATTGACCATCTCTGGCATTATATAAAGCTACCACCTCTTCGTGATAGAAAGTCCTCTACCGGTAGACACCAACAGGGCAATTTTTGAAAGTTAAGTCTATTTTAGAAAGAAAATTCCCAGGTTATTAAGGTGTAAGGTTGATTTTGTGCTGAGATAATATTGTAGAAAACTTGCAGGGTTAGGATCAGAAAGGGTGGAAAAGGATGAATGGTTGAAGACAAAAGAGAATTCGAATTTGCCAGGCTTGAAAAATGACTAGTTGATGGAAATTCAGAAATTGTAAAAACAGTTTAGGAACCTGGAAACAGGAAACAGTTTTCAAAGAACTAACGCCTCATCTGCCTCAGGTTCTGTTTTGTGTTTCATGGAAGAATCTAGGGGGAAAAAAAAAAAAACCAAGTTTAGTAACATTGTTTCATTTTCGCAAAAGCAGAAACAATGGTTAACACCCAGCCCCTTTGTAGTTCAATATAGAAAGCGCCCAAAGGGAGCTTTCACTTGTTATGCTTACAAATAAAATCAACGTTAATGACATTGATAGTATAAAAATGGATTTTTGTCCTAAACGACCAAGCCCCAGCTCAAAACTCTTCAGCTCCAACTCCACTGCTCTCTCTGCCAAAGCTCTCCAGTGACCACTCTGCAATGCCGGTCGTTGTTGGCAGAACTGAAGAAATGTAACATTTTCTTCGCTCATCCCTCTTCACTTTTCCTTCACTCTTCTTGGTCTCTGTCAAAAATCCCATGGATTGTTTCTCTGTGCTTTCTCTGCTAAGAAAATTTTCTTCTTTCTTTCTACAACTTCCATTGTTCTTGATATGCTTCCCTCAATCAGATTTCCACCTCATTCAGCTCCTAACATATATTTGCTTTTGATGAAGATTTTGGTTGAGATCTCTGCAGACCTTGTAGAAATCACTAATAGACAATATGTGGCTTCTGGAGTTGTGCAATGGCGTAACATTAAGCATTCAGATATTAGTGAGATAATTTTATTCATATAGGACAATTGTTTGGGAATGGAGAAGATAGAAAATAAAACAATTCTTCCCTAAGAGCATAGAAATGAAAACAGATTCTTGATTAATATTGTCATGTTTTGTCCGTGACCGACTTGGAAATTCTCTGCGTGTTTTATTGGCTCAATATTTGGTCATGTATAATGGAAAGTTATAATTCAATTCAGTTGAGCAAACATTTAAAAATAAATATAAAAAATATATAACCAACTTACAAATTTTTTTATTTTTTACAGAGTAATTTTTTTTTTTGGTTACCAAACAAGTTTTCTAGTTCTCTGCTTTCAATTATTCAGTAACAAATGCAGCTCCGACAAAAAACACAGCAAAGCATAAACACTACTGCTTGCCACGAAATTCAAAACAAAAAGTGCAAGCAGTTGCCTAACGAGCCCTGAAAAATCAAAGTCTAAAAATGTGTTTTTCTTTCACCACTTTTTACAAAAAACAATGAACCCGATGCATTCTATCCTCTTAAAACAGAAAAGTTATCTTAAAAAACTGAAACAAGTAGGCTAGATTCTGAAATTTTTGGACAGCAAGGTTTTAGGGGGTTGGGTGTTAAATAGAGGACCAAAAGGGAAGGCAAAGCTTATCACTTTATTAGGGTTAGTTGTACTTCTCAACACTTACGCTATGTTTGGTTGGAGGGATGGATTGAGGGGGGATGGATGAGATGGGGGACGGATAAATATTTTCGTGTTTGGTTGGAGGGAAGGGAAGAGAAGGAGGAAACAAGGAGGGATGCAGCATCCCTCCTTCCTTCATGTTTATCCGCCTACTTTTGGGGGGAAGAGAGGAGAGGAAAAAGCATAACTACCTATAAATTTATAATTTACAATTTTAACCTCTTCAAAAAATTTGAAATAAATATCTACCTTTTATAATTTTATATAAAAGGGTGTATTGGTAAAAATAATACAAGAACCTTCCAACCAAACAAGAAAAAAGTATCACTCCATTCATCCTTTCTACTATCCATTCCATTCAACCAAACACAATATGGGAAAGACACCATCCCTTCCAGGGATGTCTCATCCATCCCTCCCCCTATCTCTTCCATCCATTTTTCCATCCATCCAACCAAATGAAGCATTACTAGGACTGGGACTCTAATTTAGAAATTTATATACATCCGCAACTAGAAATATTCTAGACCTACTAAAAACGCTATATAAAGACCAAAAATCGCAGGGATCATTCATTACTAATCCCCATGTACAATACGTCACGAAATAAACAAACTACCATATGCACTACTGACTAAAAAGGAAACAAAAATAAAATTAAACACCAGTATAATAACTGAAACTGACACATTATGAGGCTTCTATTATACACCAGTAAAAAGAGCTATTTCCCTCTCCCCATATGCACCACCATTGAGGGCCACCACAAAAGAGCCATTCCTAGCACCCCCCACTTTTCTGACTCTCCTACCCACTTTACAACCACTTCAAGTAGCAAGAGCTTTTTTATTTTATAAGTAAAATGTATTAGAAAGCGTTCAAATGGGGAACACGTCCCAAGAGCTATACAGAGGCCGATGCCAGAGACAATGTCCTAAGGACCCACTGAACCCAAAAAATCAATAAACTCATCAATAGATATACAATTTCTCCCCAAAACCCAACTAAAAAGAGAGCTAATAAAATGAAACTTCAAAGCCCCTAAGAAAGATTCCTCCCCTTCAAAAGATCTTCTATTCCTCTTCTTCCATAAGCACCACCAACACAAAGGGGATCCACCCTCCAACACTCACAGGCGTGGGCTCCCACACTACAGCCTCACCAAGCGTAATCAAACCCCTCGAAGACCAAGGCACAACCTAATGGACGCCGAAAAGGCCAAAGATAAGGCTCCAACAGTCGTGAGCTACAGGGCAATGCAAAAGAAGGTGATCCACAGACTCGCCACTCCTCTTGCACAAACAACACCAATCGATTGTAATCTGTCTTCTCTTCCTCAAATTATCCACGGCAATCCGAAAAAGTCTGGGAAAGGAATGACCCAACGGGCAATCACCACACCATAAATCCTCCGAGAACCAAACTCCCCTGCCTTCCCCTACTCTGAATATAATATGCTAAGAAAATTCATCCCATCCCCTATGAATGATTTTCCAAACACCCACACCTCTAGCGAATCTGACCGGATCAGAGGACCACCAACCTCTCTCCTCCCCGTAGCAGCACAGAACAACCTTCCTCCAAAGACGATGGCGCTCACTTCCAAATCTCCACAACCACTTTCCCAGAAGAGCCCTATTAAAAAGGGCCAACCTCCTAACGCCCCACCCTCTAAACGAAATTGGCCAAACATACTTGATCCCAACAAACAAAATGATACTTGAACTCCTCCCCCAGTCCACCCCAAAGGAAGTTCTGTTGAAGTCTATCAATCCTTTCAAAAGGGAGAGAAAGTATGTAGGTGGGCTCGACAACGTACTCTTCAAAAGAGTAACCTTCCCACCCTTTAGAAGATACTGCTTCTTCCAACCAGCCAGTCTCCTTTCGAAGCGCTCAATCACAGGATCCCAACCTCCCACCCTCCTTGACGGAGCACCCAACGGCAAACCCAAATAGGAGAGAGGAAAAGAGCCCACCCCACACCCAAGAACTGCAGCAAGAAATGTGGTGTCCTGAACCTCTCCTACTGGGACAAGCATGCTCTTTCCTAACATTAATTTTCAAACCAGAAACTGCCTGAAAACAAATCTGGACACACCTCAAATATCTCAACTGGGACACATCAGCATCACAGAAAACCAAGGTATCATCCGTAAACAATAAATGAGAGATCTCCATCTGATGACCCGAGTCTCTACCAACCCTAAAGCCCATGATAAAACCCAGATCCACTGCCCTTCCCAACAACCTACTGAGAGCCTCCATAATAATAAGGAATAAAAATGGAGATAGAGGATCGCCTTGTCTCAATCCCCAAGAGCTACCAAAAAAACTTGTAGG